AGGGTTTATTCCCGACGGCAATATCTCAAAAATTCCAACATAAAATTTTTTCTTAATATTACATTCCTATCCTACTTTTTTATGATCTACACGATGGGCATAGTCAAATAGGGTGTACCAAAAAAAACGTTCGCTGTCCAAGTGAATTGTATAGATTACTCGGAACAAGTACTACGTCCACAGGCGGTTTGGCGTGGCACATCCGGTGCACGCATAGGTACGAGTTACGGGGCACGAGACTAGTTACGGTGCACGAGACGGGTTGTAGACTAGTAGAAAGAGAGAAAGTGAGAAAAAAATGGACAGCACCCCTATTCTGGGTTATGCCGGCGCAGCTTTCTCAAAGCTGTCCGGCCCTTATCCGCCCGGCAGAGGGGGTGTCAGTCTCTCTCCGGCCCCGCTATTACCGCCGCAGAGGTTGTCGGGCTTTGCGGCCCTTATTGTGAGCCCAACGGCTCAGGTATGCCATCGGCCAGAGTTGTGCGCAATGGCGCTGATATGCGTCGGCCAGTAGTGGCACTCATGGTGTGAGTGAGGGAGTGAGTGAGAGAGAGAGCGCGAAAAAAATTGACAGCACCCCTTTAATATGTTATGCCGGCGCATACCGTGTCAAGGGTTGCCCGGCCCTAATCCCACCGGCAGAGGGGGTGTCAGTCCCTCTCCGGCCCCGCTATCACCGCCGCAGCTGTCGTCGGGCTCTACGGCCCTTATTATGAGCCTAACGGCTCAGGTATGGCATCGGCCACAGTTGCGCGCAGTGGCGCTGATATGCGTCGGCCAGTAGTGGCACTCATGGTGTGAGTGATAGAGTGAGAGAGAGAGAGAGAGTGCGAGAGAGAGAAAGAGAGAGAATTAATTATTTATTTTTTATTTATTTAATTTAATAATTTTAATTTATTTATTATTAATTATTACTATTATTATTATTATTATTAATCATTATTATTTAATTATATAAAATTTTATATTAATATTTTTGAAAAAATACTGCAATTAAAAATCCATAATGTATAGTCTATGGGAATTTTTGACTTATAACATCATCTATTGTGGCTAAACGCGTAGAGATAGGTATAGGCAAGTGGGGGTCTAATCGGCCACAAATGTCCTTAGGATTCCAACGGACCCGGTCTCGACTCATTCTGAGGCTCACAGGTGGCGCTAGAGTCGCAAACACATGTATACCCGTTTTTCCGAAAATCGGGACCGACCGGGGGCGGGACTTCGGGAATTTTTTTGGAAACTTTAACTTGTACCCGGATTATATATATCAACTTTCTAGGTTATTCCAGTCGCCCACAATCATTGCCGGTATGTCAAAATTAAACAGGTTTATATCTCAAAACTATGTTTTTAGGGTTTAGAGCTTCCAATTTTGTCTGTGTACTAGATAGAGCAATAAGCTTGGTATGTTATTTGTCAAGGTCATCGAGCTTAACAATAATGTCAGTGGCCCCACCTCGATCCCGTGACCCCAGGGGGCGTTACGGTAAACACAAAGTCGAAAATTTTATATAGTCGAAAATGAGTTATGGTGCCTAAAATGTGCCTATAGGTGTCTACTAATGCCTTAAGAAGTTAGAAAAATATAGCTCTCCATTTGGCCGAACGCTGGCTAGTTTTCGGTTTTGCGAAAATTCTATCGGAAGAAATGTGCCATTTCCGAGTCAACGTGCATTCAAATTTTGATGCGGTTTTTTCTAACACTAGTCCCGATGAATGGAGGTCATAATGCACTTTAAATCATAATTTTATCATTTGGCGTTGAGGAGATATGAATTTATTACATTTTTCGGCTTTCGGTCAATTATCTCAAAAGTTACATCATAGGATTTTTTCTTACTATTCCCTTCCTATCCTACTTTTTGGTCATACAAACGAATCCGTTGTCGATAAAGAGGTAGTCAAGAATCCTGCCGAGGGTCCATATGATTTCTAAGATACATATGTGTGTGCATATGCACACACATTTGGTGGCTTCGCCCCCAAACCGCCTGGAATTACTCGGAATAAATTAAACTATTTATTTGAGTTTACTTTCACTAAACTATTTTATCCTAGATTTTTCAGTGCATTATTTTTAGGTAAACTGATTATGGTATCAAAAATACAATGATATCTCTGTTTGGGACCACAGGTGCTGCTAGTTTTATACAAATATATAAGTATATTGTTTAAATGACATTTATGTTATCTATAATTAAACGTTATCAATAAATATTTTTAATTAATTGAAATAAAAATGTTCTAATCACTTTTGCGTATGTTAGAATAAAAAATATGGTGAATTTATAAATTATATTTAAATAAATACTGTACAAATAAATAATAATGCAAGTTATTTTTATTTTACATGCTTCACTGTAGATGTCAGATATGGCGTTATCTACCATCATTATATTAACAACATTTACAATAGCTAGTGTGACCAGCTTACCATACTGTCCGCCTGTAGACCTACTAGAACCATGCAAATGTATAACCGACCGTTTCAACGAGGGCATATACTGCGGCGGTGACACCGACATCAACCTACCTGCCATATTCACTAAACTGAGCCAGCAACTACCAGCCAACCGTAAACACTTCTACCGGCTACACATTAACAACACCTCTATCCGGGAACTGGTGGCCGACACTACCAAAGACATTGTATTTGACGACATAGTTGTTGAACAATGTAAAAATGTACACCGAATCGACCCTGATGCATTCGGCACAACAGTTACAAACACTACTGGATTACGTATATTCTACAACCCAGCCCTTGGCAATCATGATGCATTGTTTGGGGCAGTGAAAAAATTTACCAAGATCATTGTACTATCGCTGGACTTTAACAACATTACAGAAATACCGGCCGACGCGCTGGCCGTACATCAGGCCCTGGAAGACGTGACACTCCGGGGGCCCAGTATTCAGCGCATAGGCGCCCGACTCTTCCCGAAAGCTCATTGGCTAAACACCTTAGAGATTACGCAAACCAACATCGATTATATGCCCGAAACTACCTTGCACTTTAATTCAGCTGGCCCTGGTGTGTTTATTTTTAATGATAATGTTCGTATGAATGCTAGTAGTTGGGCGCTGGGCAGTTTGACCAGGTTTAATAGAGCGGTGGACTTTTGTTATTTGAGTAAAGCCAAAGTGATGGAGCTTGGTTATTTGGATGAGCGCGTATTTGGCCCACTACTGGACAGTAATAACGGCACTCTATTGGCCACCGTAGGCTACACTTTTGATTGTCAGGATTGCCGTAACCAATGGCTTGTGAAGCGGACACGTAGGGGAGAGATAGTGTGCACAGATGGCCTCCTTTTCAAAGACAAAATTCATTTTAAAAATTGTTAATTTTACAATATACAAATTGAAATAATAAAACATTTTAAATAAATACATTATATAGTGTATAATTAATTTTATATCTAATATCAAGTTGGACGTTTGAATAGTGCTTTGAATTTAATGAATAATTTTTGTTTAATTTTTAAGTTAAATTCAAACAGTTCTCCAATACTAAATAATTTTGATGCAAACCCTGTCTCTGAAAAATTTATCGTAAAATATGACCAAATATTCAATACAATAATTCCTGCCAATTCTGGTCCAGTTTTAACCACTTTTCACTATTTTCAAGTACTTTATGTGTTTATTAAGTGAGACTTAAATAGGAAACAATTGGGTAACATTTTTGTTATTTTAATAATAAGTTTATAATATATGGGTAGGCTATGTTGTTATTAATGGATTGTCGTACAATTATTTTGTGTTAAAATTTAAATGAATATTTTAAAAATAGATAAATAATATATGAAAATAATAATTAAATTCTGGGTATTGTTTTAAAATCTATTTACATTAAGTTAAAAAGTGTTGCATTTTGTTGAAGAAAATTATTGTTATAATTAACATTGTTATCAATAAAAGCAAAATTATATAACGGTTAAAATATAAAAATATAATGTTCAAAGTTGTGTCGTATATAATTACAGTATAGTTTAGCATTTGGATATACTGAACGAGATAAAACTTATTTTGCACTAAAGTGCAAGTTGCGCGATTTTATCAATAATTATTTCTTATATTGAAACAATAATGGTGAAATACACACCATTTAATAATAATAAGTTTGAATGTAATTTTTAGTAATTGATAGTAACTGAACGAGATGAACATTTTATTGATAATAATGTGCAAGTTCCTGTAATTTAATCAAAAGTAACAGTAAGTACACAGTTTTGTTGTTGTTTTTAGTTTTTATTGATAAAATATAAAAGTAGTTTAAATGTATCCGAGGATTATATTTTATCTATTGATTCTGATTGATCGAGATAAATATTTCTTACTTTAAAACAGCAAAATACTTACAATTTGATCAATTTTATGGTATATAAATAAATGTAATTTTTATTAAAAAATTATACACTAATAATAAGTTTAGTAAATAAACTACTCCTAAATTATATTTAATTTATTCTTAAGGCTTAATGAATAATATAGTAATATTAGGGCTATTATTGTGGGCATCGGTGGCTAGTGTCCTGTGCCAACACAATCTGCCCAATCAGCCTATAGTCGACCCCAACCAAGTGGGGGCGTCCACAGTATTTTACATCGAGGTTATTGACAGGCAATGTAACAAAATATTGGCTACTGGTCAGAGTGTTGACCACTTTATAGATTTGGTCGAACGGCTGGAGACACTCGTATACAACGGCGTGGATCAGCACATGAGACAACATATGGGCGCCCATAATGTGGCAAAACTATTGCTCAGAAGGTATGATAGATCTCCATAGATCTTAATAGCATAACCATTTGTATTTTATCATATTTTTATGTCCATCATGGTAAATTTAGATTCCGGTTCGACGGCTACGACAACATCCAATACCCAACATACAAGAAAACACGTGACAATGACTTCCAGTCATTTAACAACGCGGTGCTAAACACTAGAGACGGACAGCCCTTGCCCTCCAACTACTACTTTCCCGACCAGTACTACAAAGTGAACGAACTTTGTTCGCTATACCATATGTTGTCGCATAACATATACAACCAAACCATTGGTATAAACACTAATCAGAGTGTCATCAGAGAGGACGGAGTGGTCAGTCGCCGCGCACACCAAACAGAGGCCATAGCGTTAGCCCGAGTGCTGTTGGGTGTGATCGCCGGGCTATCGCCAAACGCACGGACACAGGCCAGCGATATATTGAAAGCATGGGGTTCTGCGCAACCCATGGACCCGGCATATGACCAATTCGTAGACCCGGTGCCCGCCCTGACCCTGGCAGACCTCTGGGCCGTGAAACCAGTAAAGTCTAACCCATATGAGAGGTACGCATACGGCGTGAACGGCCAATGGGCTACCGGTGCCAACTCTACCGCGTATTACGGTCTAAAAGACATTCCCGATAACAAGTTTGCAATAATTGAACCGTACATACGGGCCACGAGAGGCGAGTTAAGGGCCGGTGTGGACGGGTATCTGATTGGCCGCGAACTGCGCCGACTTTACCCACATTTCAACCCGGGTGACGTGCGGTTGGCAAGCATTTTGCGCGCCTATTACGGCGACTGGCACTCACCGTTGAACGTGTCGGTCACCGACCGGTACCGTATCGTCGATGCGCTGCCCCTAATCCAGTCCTACGCCCAGACATACCAATCGATAGCCGCTACACGTCTTGGAGGCAGACTTCCCGTCGATTTGGACGAAAGATTCAGTTTAGAGTTACAAAACGCTATATACGGCACCTTTATCTAGTTTGTTCATATTTAATTACCAATGTTAATTATATAGTATTAAAATTATAATTGAAATGTCATAGATGCAATATTACAGTATTAATTTTTTGCCCTGTTTCAACAGTAATAATATTTTACTATTTAAAGATAACAATAATTATTTCAAAATTTATATTATGTAATTGATTTTCAATTTAAATTTAATATAAAACTTTTTGTATTTAATTAACAAATGGGAATTTTAAGTTTTAAATGGGTTATTATTAATTTTAAATAAAACGTATAGTAATTGCAAAATCCATATAATTGTTTATTTACGTTAGTATAAATAAATTATTTTCAAACGTTTCATCTATTTAATAGAATATACTACATGCATAAAGTAAATGATTACATATCGTAGTTAAAAAATTTTGTACAGTTATTATTATTTTAAATAATTTTATTTTATGTTAAAAACGGATTTTACGTTAAAAGTATGTTTTAATTACAATCAATAAACATGAAATGCTTTTTAAAATTTTAATCAATTTAACCAACTTATTTTAAATATAAGTAATATTTGATTTTATGTTATATAGGTGGAATTTGGAGGTGATTTGAATGTAGCTTACCTAGGTTATGAATAAAAATTACAATTATTTTTGAGGTACCAATATGATTATTATATGAGTCTTGGTAATCTCGATTTTTGAATAAAGTACAAATGATATTTATAAAACATTTAATGGTAAAAATATAATGTTTAAATTAAGTAAATAAACAAAATTATATACTATTTAAATTTATTATAATTACAAAATTAACAATACTTATTTAAAGTAGGGCTTAATAAATTGAGAGACAATTAATATATGATTGTATGTTATATAGGTGGAATTTGTAGTTGATGTGCACATTCTGAATGGCCTGTAGCTCACCTAGGAACGGAATAAAAATTACAATTATTTTTGAGGTACCAATATAGTTATTATATCAGTCTTTGGTAATCTCAATATTTGAATAACGTTAAAATTATGTTTATAACCGATATTATAGTAAAAGTATTTATTTTATTACACTAAAACATACAAAATTATGTGTTATTTAACTTTACATCAATTTAATAATTGATAAAACTTAGTTAAGTTGCGTTTAATGATTTGAACGTATTTAGTTATATTTGAACTTAAAATTTGTTTAGTCAAATCACGTAGGGTTAGCATTGCCATAAACTTATCAATTCCATGTTAACCCTATGTCTTAGCCATAAGCTGTAATCCCATAGAAACGCGTGTTAAAAGGCCCCATGTTAAACCTATGAGAGTATCCCTATGTAAAAGGATCGCCATAGGATTAGCATATTGTCCCATGTTAATTTTTATAAGTTAGGGATGATTGAGAGGAGAGGGGGCAGCAGAACAATTTTATAAACAGCATTTTTAATACATTAATTGTGGTTAAAAATTATAGACAACATTGCTATTATTTGACATATATTATTATTATATTAAAAGTACATTGTTTTAATTAAAATTATTATACCAATTATGTCTTATTTAACTTAATTTCTATTGCATGGTTAAAAATATCTTATTTATATTTGCTTTGATTGTTTGAAAGACAAATAATTTCTAGTAGTATGTTATATAGGTAGAATTTGTAGTGGTTGAGCACATTCTGAATGGAATGTAGGTCACCTAGGTGATGAATAAAAATTACAATTATTTTTGAGGTGCCAATATGATTATTATTTCAGTCTTAGTAATCTCAATTTTTAAATAAAGTAGAAATTTTGTTTATAATAAATTTTATGGTATAAATATTATGTTTAAATTTTAGTAATTAACAAATTATAATCTATTTAAATTTATTATAATTACATAATGAACAATATTTATTTAAAGCTTGGCATAATGATTTGAAAGACAATTAATATCTAATTATATGTTATATAGGTGGAAATGGAGGTTGATGAGCACATTCTGAATGGAATATAGCTCACCTAGGTGAGGACTAAAAATTACAATTATTTTTAAGGTACCAACATGATTATTATATCAGTCTTGGTAACCTTAATACTTGGACAAATTTAAAATTGAGTTTATAACGGTTTTATGGTAAATTAATTTTTATATACAATGTACTACATTTTTTTGCGATAATAACATGGGTAATAAATAACAATTTACATTAAAAGAAAACAATTTGTAACAATTACCTTATCTTATAAATTTTATATAAAGCTATTTTATATATTAATACTTGAGCTATACTGAATATGATATATAACATTATTTAGATAGAGACAGTATTTATTGCCAATTTTAGCATTATGTTTTCTTCTAAAATAATTTCAGTATTATTTGTGTATATTTATGTATAGGTTGTCATCAATTAACTAAACAGCAAACAAATTATATAAACTATTAAATAGTATAATAATGTTAAATAAATGTACATTGTGTCCGTTATACTAATTTAGTGATTAGACAAGTTGTAAATTACTATAATTGTTAAATGGTACATTGCAACTCAACAAAATTTATTATTCAATTTGCAAAATAAGTTACTTTTTCTAAATATATTCATAGTCTAATTGTATTATAATGCTATAAATAATTACTGTAATATAGTTTAAATAGAATATGGTGCCTTATTATATGAATTTTTATAAAAATTATATTTACTTATAATACAGTATTATTTATTTATTTTATTAATGTATTGTTGTAATTGTAATAAATATACAGTAGTGTCAATTTAATCATTGTATTAGGGTACATTTAAAACGAAATATAAATATAATCATAACTACATAATAACAATAATAATATTTAATTGTAAGTTGAATTTAAGTGAATATATTTTCCCATATTACTATAATAATTATAACTAAAATTACCACTCAACTAATTACATGTTAAATTACCAATCCATAAAATAAAAGCAATTAAAGCGTTAATTATAGACATTACAAATATATAATAATATTATTTAGTCATCTTTAAAAATTTTATTAAAGATTCAACTAATATGATATACTTAATACATTACAATTTGCTTACTTTATTTGAAATATTAAAATTCATATATTTTAAATAATATAAAGTACTTTCTAATAAATAAATTGGATATTATGATTTATATTAACAAATATTCAAGTAATAATATTTAGATTTTATTTGTATTTAATTCAATTAACTATTGATAATTTATTCATAATAACAAACAATTTTAATAATTACAACTATTTAATAATAATAATTATTATTATGCCTAAAAAGTCAAACAAAATACATAATAATAATAATTCTCAATGTTTAACGTCATACATCATACAGAGTATACGGTAGACGTGTCCCGCAGAGAACTATTACGACTTGTGGCTCAGTCTACCGGTACCACCGGTGGGGTCGAGAGTCGTCACAGACCGTTACTATCTCGCTGAAACCAGTGCCATCTTCATGACAAAGATTCCAGTGGGCCGGCCCGGTCTCGAACTCGCTACCTCAGCGTACAATGGCTAGTGCTCTAACCACTACACCAGCCTGCCTTGGTAAACAAAATACATAGTATAAAGTCTGGCATTAAATGCAATAAATTATTGCCCAAAGAATTGCAAATACAATCAGCAGAGAATCAATTGTATAGAATTGGGCTATTATTAGACAAACCTAAAATTCAAACAAACCGACCATGGTATTACAAACCAATTTTAATTGCATTTGGTTATTTTTGCAATATTTTATTTAACTTAATAAATATTGTAAATAATGATCACAATAAAATAATTAGTATGATATTTGGTGATTATTCTCATTTAATTGGTTCAGGTATTTATTTAAGAGTAATTAATATTATGGGTGCATTATTTTCAGCCATCATTCAAATAATATTTACTTCTAATTACTTTAAATGTATTCCCCCCACATTTCTACGTGTATTTGCTATGTTGTCGGGTATTATAACCCCCAATAGTGTGGGTCTATCGGACCCCCAATCCCTCTATCGGTTCATCAAAACAGCGAAAACTATATTCAAAATTAATCTTTTAATAAGCGGTAAAACTTCAGTATTTGTGGGTTTATTATGTTTTATACCATATATAGGGTGACCAGAAATTTTTCGACAAAGGGAGAGCAAATTGGCAAATTTTCTGTCTCAGGGGAGGACGCGGGGAGGACACTATATTTTATTATTTTAAACGTAATTTAATATATCTCTATTGTTATATTATCATCAATTAGATTAATATCTCCATTATTTTCATGGTTATAATAATAATTTTACTATTAATTTGTTAATTAATAATGTCACAATTTTAAATGGTGACCTGCTAAGATGCAATAATCATCAAAACTAAACAAATTAATATATGCTTTGTACATATAAACACAAAAATTATATTGCTAGAAATTATTGCTCTTTTTATTGTTTATATCTTGTTGATCACATTATTTTAAAACTGATGCCATTTTTCGAAAAGAACTTATAAAACAAAAGTGTTGTGAAAACTCAAACATAATTAATGTCATCATTGATGACTCATCAAGTTCACTATACGCACATTCTAATAATTAAGCACATAATTAATTTAATTAATTAGTATAACAAATATAAAGAGTTATAAATGAATTTTATGCTTAAAGAGTGAATTATATGCAAATTTGTAAATATTTAGATACGAAAATTTAGTTTTTATTGCTAAATTTTCAATACTACTCGGGAGGACATTGTATAGTCCTCCCCAGGGTCTCGGGAGGACGGTGCAAAAAATGGTCCAGGGGAGGACAATCCTCCCGGCGGGAGGACGTTTGGTCACCCTAACCATATATACTTTATATATCTTTATTTCCAGCTATTGTATTTGGTGTACCTAATAGTATTTTACTAGATTTTATGGCATATAATGGAATTAATTGTATGTCATGGTCATTTATTTACTTATATATTCTATTAAGATATTTGCAAATTAAACTTACTTTTCTAAACACACGGTTAAAAAATATGAAGAAATCACATAATATTTTGTTAATA